TTTTTGCAAGTCTCTTCCCTCAAATCTGTTTTTATTCCTTTTCATCTTCATTTTTAACTTCAGAAAACAGACATGTTTCTCCCAAGGGAACAATTAAATGTGTTTTCTTTCAAAATCTAAAGGGCATGGTGAGCAGGCTGTGTGTTCAGCAGGCTACTTTAATCAATGGAACCCATCCAGCCTACCACTGCTGACCAAATTGCAATTTACATCAGTAGAGACAACTTTTGAAACGGGAAGTTGAGGGAATATAATACCAATTTTGGCATAATACAGCATGCAGGGTGATATGTGGTTTAATGGTTTCCTAACAAGCTTTTGGAAAAAAGCTTTGGAACATTTAAAAAAAAAAAAAGGGCAATAAGATCGTAAAATTTCAAAGTCTGCTTGAACAGTGAAATCAATGTTATATGTGTAGAACTTCTGAAGTCCAGATGACACTTATGTCTCATTTAAGCCTTATTACAAGGTTTTAAGAGAGGCTAGTCTTTGCAAGGCATTCTCCCCCCTCCCATCCACGTTCAGGTCTTTCCTTACATATACGTAAAATTTTGAGCCAGATATGACCAGTAACATAGAAAAACTTTCTTTTTTTTTTTTTTTTTTTTTTTTTTAAACTAAGGGCAACTTTATTTCAGTTAGAGAGGGGTTTTTATTTTTTGGTTTGTTTGTTTTAAAAGCAGTTTAATATGAGTTTTATGAGCTTACCTGTCTTCTAATGTTAGAGATGCTTATTTTTGCATACAGTGAATAAAACAGAATGTGTTTTTTCTAGATGGCAGAAGAGACAAAGGATATCAGAACAGTTAGGAAGAAGACTAATTATGTTACGCACTGAGAAATTTAGCATACCAGAAGTACCACTCTCCCTTTCAAGAGGAACAGATACAGCAAGAAAACACAGTCTATTTCCCAGACAGAATAAGCCCCGCAGATTGCTGAGGTTAACAGTTTCTTAGCTACTTAATTTCATAGTTATTCTTTGCAAGTCTTACAAGAATGTTTTAACATTATGCAAAGAGACAGTGCCTCCAACCAAGTATACATGGACTGTTCACTCCCATTGCCTGAGAGAGCCACAAAGAACTAGAGGAAAAAAAACTGCTGCTGTGCTTATCATACATGAGCTCAGTTTATTTGTGCTATAAATAAAAGTAGATCTTGATAGCGTAATTACATTTCTCAGCATTATCCTCTGCCATTCACTGCAGAAAGAAAAAAAGAAAGGGGAGAAAAAGTTCGCTTCACTATAATTTGTAACCAAAATGACTACACTTAAAACATAATTTTATTTCCCTGACTTCATTTCCTGTGGAGCTTTGTGGGGCAAATAGATAATATTATACCAAATCTGCAGGCAGATAATTCTCCCATACGTTGCACTGTCATTGTCTAGATCACTTTCCCCCCTCCCCATGCTTTCACCAAGACCATAAGGCTGTGTTTTTGTTATCACATTTTGTCATTGAGGCATATATCAGCATCAGAAATCCCCGGGGTGAATCAACTTTTACTTTTTCTACTTTCTCTCTCCTGCTCCCCCAAATTACTTTTCCTTGCCTGATTCACTTTTTATAATTCTTGGAAAAAAAACAAAAACAAAACAAAACAACCCAAGGTGGTTTCCCACTATGAGGGATTAGCACAGATTATGGCGAACAGTGTTAATTATAGGTGAGGAAAGAGAATAGTGCATCTCTCCAATCTGTTCTTGATTTCCCCGGTGTCTGTCTGTCTGGTAATAAGCCTCCTTTAATCTGGCAGTCCCCTTGGTGAAATCAGCGCCATGGACAGCAATATTGATTGCTTCTGAGAAACCATCACAGCTGCTCAACCAAATTACCTTTGATATGTGACCTTTAATGTAATTACTGCAACATCAAAGCATTTCTATAAATTATTAAAGAACTAATATACTTCATCATCCAGCTAGTCTATTATTTGTAAAATAAACAATCACAAGTAAACGCTAGAATTTGGATTGTCCAAAACTTACAAAGAGCTCTTTACACACACATACGTACTCTGCTACATTAACCTTCTGTTTTAGGCAAAACAATTTCAAGCTGTCCAAAAGAGCCTAATTCAGTCATTCAGATGAAAAGGATCTAACTGATAATTTTATGTTTTACATTCCATTCTAGTTGCTTCAAAATATCTATCATGATTCCTTCCCACCCAAAAACAAAGTGCCATAAAGACTTTATTAATCAACACATACCTGCTTGGAAGTCTTTTGATTATTCCACAAGATGAGTTTATGCCCCACATATAACATAGAAATATGTGAAACATATTTCTGTCATCTTACAAAGCACATCCAGAAAGTAATTACTGTAAAATATGTGCATGTAGCCACTCCACTAAAAACAAAGTGATACATAGCTAAGAGGCAAGGCGTCTGAATCTGGACAAAAACTCCTCATGCCTCACCATTTCCATACATTAACATTCATGTGAATATTATTTAAAATGACTCATTTCCGTGTTTTGTAATACAAAGAACACAAACAGCAATATTGCAAGAGCAGGAAAATGTACTGTTATCTGGGGGATGGGAAAGAATAGCTTACTCTAGTACTATTTACTTTTTCCTTTTCCAGGCCTGTTAATTATTTTTGATACCTCCTCAATGCTGTTTGTGTCATAGGCAGTGGAGTCTCAAGAGAAGATATTATATATATGTCATTCGTGAACTCACGTGAATGAGGACTTAGACCCCTGACCTTAAAAGTGCTTTTTATTTTATGTTGATGAACTATGGTTGATATTGTTGGCGCATGTTATCAAGAACAGACAGGTAAGTAATAAATAATTCCCTGCTACTCACATAGGAACTATAAAACAGTATCCAGGCATGATAGTTTATCAAGAGACAAGACTGGTTTCCTTAAATAAACTACAGTGACATCATTCAGAAGATGAGTTCAGAAACTTGGCAGAAAGCTGCATGCAGAGGGTTTGTTGGTGGAAAGTAAACCTTTATCCTGAGACAAATAGAACTGGAAATGAAAGGGAAGGGAGAATTCAGTGTTCAGAACTCTCAAAAACCTGGTTGCTATTTTAGACAGAAGATTCACTGTTCCTGATTCTATCAGATCCTGATGTGTCTCCTGAAAGTGTAAAAGAAAACAAAAAAAAAGCCTCTAAAGTCAGTACGGTGTATATGTAATAGAAACTACACAAACCAAAGAAATTGTTTCCCTGTAGTCTGGAATCAATCACTGTAGCCTCTGCAGGAAGTTTTGATCGTAAAGCAAAAGCTGGTCGAATTTTGCTACTGCCCAAGATGACAGTTTTGACTTTAAGACTTTTGTGATTTGAAGTCCCTAAAACACAGATTGACATTCAGAACTGTGGACCTATAAAGAACTAAAAAGGAAAAAAAAAATCCTAAACATCACTTGCCCTCCCTCCCAACTATGAGCCTTCAATCTCACTGTCTTCTTGAAGATATTTGCATCATACAAATTCAAGATGGGATTTTAGCCTCACAGAGAAAATAAGGGTTCCATCTGCAAGTGAGTGGTCTAGTTCCTAATGAGAAGAGCAAACAGTCTTAGTGGAAACATTTGGAATTTCATTTAATCTCTTTAAATACATGACACATGTCTATATCTAGTTTTGATAAATACATATTTGATTTCAAGCATATTTAAAAAAAAAATTAGTTAAAATGTAACCTGAAATATCCTTACTCAACACATTTTCATTTTTCGAACATCCAGTTCTATCATTCAGAAAAGACAGGAGTAAAAAGAAAACATCATAGGGGCGTAGGGGGAAGAAAAACCTAAACCCCAACAAGACTGAAGTTACTTTCAATCTGCTGCTAAGGAGTTTCTATGAAAAAAAATTATTCAGAGGGAGTCGTCAGCTGACAGAAATATTTTTAGGGAATGAAGTACGTATATATTTACATAAGGTATGGTCTTTTAAGCAAAGATAGATGTAGATGAGCAAGTGCGTGGGTATCTTCATACTGGCAAGGTGTCTTAGAGATAGGTAAATAGACTTGGGATGATGGAAACAAGCAGAGCAGAGTCAACACTTTCTTCAGCACCATAGAACAAGGGATGTGCCTCAGGTCTGATGGAAAGGTTATGGTTACGCACGATTCAGTCATTCAACACCAACTAATAAGGTCAGACTTTTGGATAGATTTCCTCTCATTTTAGATGCAACCTGGAACCCTCAGGATCCCCCTCTTAATTACTTGATCACTGACTTTTGTGTCATTGAGAAATCAGCCCTATTCTAGCTACAGAAGGACTTGGCTGTTCCCAATCCACGTACGTTTGTTGAATCTAAATAGTCTCTCTCTCTCTGCTCCCCTCCGCCGGGTAACTGCTAAACTAGAAACCCATCCCAGCAGGGCAGGTCTTCCCCACATAATGCTGATTCTATTTTTAGCTTTGCTTGTGTTGTCTGAACCTTAGATCTTGCTCATGTGAATAATTTTCCTCATTATCCTGTGTTCGTCTTTCCTCTCTCTCTTTTCTCCTTGTCTCACCGCCTTTCCAATCTGCTACAGCTGCTTGAATACTAAAGTAACTGAGTCAAACCACTTTGTCATCAGGAATATGTTTTCATTTTGTGATAACTCAATAATGTGATCTGTTTCTTGATTTCCTGCAGTCACACCTTGCTTCAGAGAAGAAAAATAATATGAAGAAATACCTGGTGAGCACTTCTAATGTTTCATTGTAGTGGTCAGAATCCTAAAGACTTTCCTCAGCTGAGTAAGGCTGGTAGGACCCAGCCCATAACCAGTTAATTACTGTTTTCCTGACTACCAATAAAAGCAAAAATCCTTTTATTTTTTTCGTGCATGGAAACCATTTGGGTGGGTTGGTGGTATCTTGATTTTATTAGCCCAATGCAAATAGTGAATCATCCAAACAAACAGAGACATTATGCTTCCAAATCTGAGATGAGAACTCCATATGTAAATCATTTTAGATTAAAAAAAAAAAAAAATGTTATCATTCTGGACTCACCCCCGGCAGTGTCTTCTGTTCATGCAGTGCACTCTGGGCCTTTAGAGCAGACTCCCTTTCGCAGTATGTTAGGAAGGCACAGCCTGTAAACAAAAAAGCATAACCTCAGTAACAGCACTGCTTCAGAGAAGATCCATTTAAAATTGAGATGTAGAACAAACCATTTTCCTGTCATCATACCATTCCCAGTAAATCAATCATAAAAATCTCTCCTTAGCAAGGGAGTAATCAAGAATCACGAAATGAAGCTATCATTGCTTCCTCTGAGGCCTGTGAGCAACAGTGTACCTAGGACTGCTTGTTCTTTGAACACATATTTAAGTGCCAGAGACAGAAGGATGCACAGAATTAAGGATCTCAAAGATTCCATGTAATGGTAAGGTGGGGCATGAGATCCTGCTCCTGCTCCAGCAGCAGCACTGGGAATAAGCACTTTATTGCCATATCATGTTGAAGGTCTCATGCCCTCCTTTTGTATCAAGTATTTTCAGTAGAGGGTATAGAAGGGCTTGGAGCTTTCTACTGCAGAAGAGTACTTCTATTGTTTAGCCTGGCTTGCACCCACAAGTAGTTGCCCTATTTGCATCTCACCAGAAGGCTTCCACCCTGTGCTAGCTACTGCTCTCTGGCTCCCACCCTTACACACAATTACAGCACAGCCCAAGCAACCAGTCCAAAACCTCCCTGACACACAGATCATTAGCACTTCAGAGATGCTCCAATGGATTGTGTCCTTGATTCTTCCAAAAATTGTCTTATTAACTACAAAGGCCAAGAACATGTCAAGGTAGGGCCCTGCTCTGCCTTCTCTCCCCACACATGTTTGCCTTCTCATAAAACTGGTTGATGTTGCAATGTCTCACTCCAGTTGTGAGCCTGATGTGATCAAATTATTTCTTCTTACTGCAGTATACTGAAAACTTGCCAGTCCCTGCAGCAAAAAAAGTGCTTGTTATGCAGAGGACATTTTCTCTGAAATTACTTCAGAATGTCTGCCACCTCTCCAGCTCCTTGAAATGGAGGAATCCTATCTTTCAAGGTTCAGGCAGCATGTCCCTCAAGCTGCGGGTACCTTTCAAGAGCAACACGAGTACAGAAAGACTACCAAAGAAAGAAACAAGTTCCATAATCTCATTTTGACCCACTCACCTTCTCCCCATGCACATATAAAGTATGTAACAGGTGAGTAAACAGTATACTATGAACTTTTCAGCTTTGATTACCACTGTGACATTTTGTCCACTGTTTTTCCCAAGCTGGTTCCTTAGATAACATTACTGAAGAAATACACACTTGTTCTTTTCTTCCTTACAATTCTTTTAATAGATTAGTACATACGAGAGACTAGGGAGATTTTTTTTCTTACAAATATACATTATTTTTTTTCAAAGATTGTCTTGTGGAAGTCACCCTACTACTCTCACAAAAAAGATACATTTTGGCATGAAAAAAAAAAGAACAATTTTTTTCACTATTTCTTACACTGTATTACTTTCTGGAGGCCTTGTTACTTTCAGCATATTCAAGCCAATCACATTGTTTCAGTAATTGAGAGACAGAAGCAGAAGGTGACAGTCAAGGAAGGAGACTGAGCAGAAGCAAAAGTTTGCATACTCGACTTGGAATTATGTTGTATTTCTTTCCCTTTAAGTGGGTGAGTTTTCAGTTAGTCTGTATCTACCAAAGAAAGCAAAGAAAGAGTGGCAGAGAGTTTGCAGCAAGCAAAAGTAATGGATTGAAAAGGATCCTTAAAAGTCACCCATAGCTCAATAATCAAATGGGAAACTATGCTTAAATTAATTTCAGTGCTAAATCACAGGCTGAGAGCTCTCTGTTTACTAGACACAATAAGAAAGTCTCCCTTTAGTAGCAGACGTGGAGCAGCTGATACAGTCTAATTAAGCACATTATAGCACGCTGCTACAGAGATAAACTATGCACTATTCCATAACGATAGCTGTATTTTTCTCCTCATTGTGATGGCCATGATGACAGTTCAGGTTAACAATGTCCTGCAACTCCTACAGTATCATGACTGTAATTCAGACTGAGTAGACAGAAGACGACTCTGCTCTGAAGGAGCAAATTTCCCTTCCAAGATCCACACTGCGTGTGTACGGAGGCAAGTTCTTATCAGGGAGAAAGCTCCACTAAGTCCTCTCCAAACATGTTGGTGAAAGTGGTAGAAGTGCCAAACTTCTAGAAACAATGCTTAGTGGAATGTGTCCAAGCATCACTGATTTCCCAAACACGGTGTTATGGACAAAAAGATGCTGAAATGGAAAAGGAATCGACCCTTTTATATGGTCAGGCAAAAAAGCCACCCTGCTTTCCAGGGTCAAATGTTGAAGTGTTTCATTGTCACTTCCCATTCATACATCATGCACATATATGACAATCTGTCCCACTCTTGTTGGGCAAAAAGTGATATTTTAATGAAAAATAATATCTCATTTATTGTAAGTAAGACCTTGTTGCCTAGAGACAGTAAGAGGTTCCATCCTAACTGTAGCCAAACGGAATAAAGTAGAGCTTAATGTTCATAACTGGTCTTGAACTTGAAAAAGAGAGTTCATGCGTATTTTTTGTCTTCCATTTACTTACCACAAAATTGTTCTCTAAGGCACATATCCTGATGGCATTAGCCATCAGTTAAAATAGTATTTTTCAGAAAAGTGTGGTCTCTAATAAAACAATACATATCTATTATTTGGTCCTGCAAGTATTTCTATATTTCAGCTCCTTTTGCATTAGGATGAAAGGCAATACTATTTCTTGAACCACCCTGCCCCGCCCACTCCCCCCATTCACCCCCAAAACATCAAAATAATTGATCTGTCCTTTGTATTGTATTTAATGGAATGACAACTGTAGAACCTCTTTCAAGTGTTACTTTTCCTAGGTTACCTCTATCAATGTGAGTCCATATGGCCCCTCCAAAGGGCTCTTCCTTCCTGGAGACTGTTGCTTAAAGAACAGACCACTGGACGCTCAGCTGAACACTACAGCATACAACACACTCAACAACTGAGTCCAGAAATAATATCATATGGAGCAGATATACTGGCTTTTACAGAGAAAAGAAGCTGGTGGAAAAAGTGGTTTGGTTGTGGTTTTTTGTTTGGTTGGTTGGTTGGTTGGTTGTTTTTTTTTTTTTTTTTTTTTTTTCATTTTGATTTCCCAGATGGAAAACAATTTCAGAACAATCAATTTTCCCTGCTGAAACTTATGATTGTGTACAGAACCACTTATTTCACTGGGAAAAAAAGTATTTGATAGTAAGCTCTTAAATAGCTCAACTTAACAGCTCACTTGCCATCAGCTGTTTGAGTTGGATGTGAACATGATTTTTGGGTGAAAGACTTCATATTGCATTATAAATAATTTTCACCATCCAGCCCCTTTGAATTGCCAATGTTCAGCTGTATAATGAACATTTCTCAAAACATCTCCTAAGGAAAGTTAGTGTAAAGCCTATGCATTATTTCTGTCATCTACTTCTATGTGTGGTAAGGACTGAGTCAGTGCAGTGCTTGTGAATTATTCCTGAATTTGAACAAAAAATCTAATTGACTAATTATTGATAATGAAGGACTTGCTCTTAGTTGTTCCTAATTTCAATTCCATTTCTCTCAAACATGTCATGTTTTCCAGACATATGTCAATCAGCTAAAAGATGTTTTTTTGGATTGTTTTTCCAGCTGTTCATTTACTACCAGTGGACAGCTTTTTGGGTAAGCATATAAACATCTGGAAACTCCCAGCTGCCAATTAACTCTCAACCTATTGAACTGCAGTCTCTTGGAAACATGAAAACATATCAAGTGGTCTCCTGGGAAACAAGGTTGTTAAAGAGAAGGGGGAAACAAAAACAAAAGCTTGAGATGGAAAAAAAAATTACAAAAGCTGTATTTTAATTTTATCTCCAGAGAATTCAAGAGTACAAATAATAATTGTATGGAATACAGATGGATAATAGTCGTGGGTACAGCAACTTCAGCTCCACAGTAAGTCTCCAGATTTTGCACGAGCCTAGGAAGCAAAGCAGTCAGGGGACATGTTGTGAACTGAACAGAATAATTCTGAAACCACCTGAGTTGCAGAAAGCAAAGTCAGGGACCGGGAGAATGGAGAAAAACCCACTGCAGCAGAAGATCAGATTTGAGACCATCTAAAGAACTTGAAGATGTACAGGCCTGTAGAACCTGATGAGATGCATCTGTGGGTCCAGAGGGAACTGGCAGGTGAAGTGGCTAAGCCCCTATCCATCATACTTGAGATCGGCAGACCAGTGAAGTTACCACTGACTAAAAAAGGGAAAAAAATCCATGTTTTTAAAAAGGGAAAGGAGGAAGACCCATGCAACTACAGACCATATCTGCAAGACCATGGAGCAGAGCCTCCTGGAAAACACACTAAGGCACATGGAAAAAAGGATGTGATTGGTAACAGCCAACATGGCTTGACAAATGGCAAATTGTGCCTTACAAATTTGGTAGCCTTCTCTGACGGGGTTACAACACTGATGGGAAAGGGCAGAGAAACTGACAACATCTACGTGGATTTGTGCAAAGTATTTGACACTGTTCTTTCCAACACGTCTCTAAAATGGAGAGACGTGGATTTGAGGGATGGACCAGAGGAATTAGCTGGATGGTCTCACTTGGAGGGTTGCTGTCAGTGGCTTGATGTCCAAGTGGAGAGCAGTGATGAGTGACATTCCTCAGGGTTTTGTATTTGGACTACTACTCTTTAACACCTTTGCTGGTGACATGGACAGTGGGATTGAAGGCACCCTCAGCAAGTTTACCAACAAGAAACCCAGTTTGTGGTGCAGTCGACACTCGAGGGAAGGGATGACACCCAGAGGGGCTTTGACAGGCTTGAGGGGTGGTAAATACCATGTAAATCTTGTGAAGTTCAACAAAACCAAGTGCAAAGAACTTTACCTGGGTTGGGACAAACCCAACACAAATAGAGACTGGGCAGGGAATGGATTGAGAGCAGCCCTTATGAGAAGGATGAAGGACATGGAGCTTCTGGAGAGAGCCCAGGGGAAACCATGAAGGTTGTCAGAGGAGCT